AGAAAACTGGAACTGGAAAGAGCAAAATAGAAGATTTTTCATGAGTAATCAAAACAAAGATTGATATCGATGGAGCTGGAAAATTGCAAGTTCGAAAAAAACAAATGAACAAATTATTTGATATAGTGTTAGCGTGTAAAAAGGTGATAGAAAATAATAAGAAAAAAGGTATAGTAAGTATATCAAGTATATCAAATATAATAGATATATCAGGTATAAAGTGTATATCAGGTATAAAATGTATAGTAGGTATAAAGTGTATATTAAAAATAAGTATATAAGTAACAGAAGAAGGGACAAAAATGAGGGGAATTCCAGACAGGTACTATGCAATTCTGACATTCTTTTAGATTCCATTGTTGAACATTTGCCCTATTACCTGACCCACACACACTACACTTGAGAAATTGCCACACAAGTAGCAACCCTTTAGATCCCCAGATCTATCGATTGATCTGTAGTGCTACCCAATGGCTCAGACCAAATATACACATCTCTTTCGAGTAGAAGATGCACTCCATTATTACATGACGGGAGGCATGCTCAAGCGACAAACTCGCCAGATTTTCACGTCAACAATAGAAATAAAGGAAACTCAAGTCACCATACTCCACATGCAAAGATTTATAAATTAAAAATAGGATTCAAACCAGATTCAACTAAACTCCAAAGAATTTTAGATGGTATCCAAACAAATTCCAATGGAGAAACAAGAAATCCCTTAAATAGAATAAATCCTTGCAGAGGCAACAAAAGATCAAAGATCAGATCTCTAGCATATGACATTCTCAATCGATGCCTATCACTAAGAAAAGCAAACAAACTGGAAATTCCAATTAATATACATGTATTGGAAAACCAAGCCAAAAAAGAATTGGAACACCTTAACAAATGAGAGATTACTGACAATCACCTTATGGCAGTAGAAATAGAAGATTTAGAAGTATTAATAATTAAAGAATACATCCAATTCCCAGAATATATACAAGCTCTAATAGAAGAATACAGAATAAATAAAGAAAGTGACTTCTACCAGCCTTATTGTTTCTATACAGATGAATCATATGGAAAAGCAAAAGACCAAACACTAAAAATGGATGCCATCTGGCTACAAGAAAAAAGATCAAACCTAGAATGTTTCTTTTAAGCAGAAGTAGACAACTGGCAATTAGCACTCTGAGCAGAACTAGTGGCAATCATTTTAACACTCCTAATAATACCCCAAAGAAGCCAAATAGAAATCCAAACAGATAGCACAATCTGTATTAATACTTTACAGAAGCTTTTAAATCTACATATCAGAGATACAGGGAAAAGAAACAGAAAGTGCAAGAACTGGCAATTGTGAACAAGATGTATAGACCAGATATACAAGAAACAGATCACAATCAAAATGACCAAAGTAAAAGCATATAACAAAGATAAAGCTTGTAACAAAGTAGATCTTTTCACCAAAGAAGCAAAAGAAGAATCTGAGATCATTTGAAACAACTGGTTTTGACAAGAAGTCCTAACAACATTATGTTGAAATGGAATTCCCATTGATATTGAAATAAGAGACTTTATTAAAGAAATACATAAGAGAAACATCTTAACAAAATGAGCAAACCAGAACCGAATACAAAAAAGATGGGTTAAAGAGATAGATAATCAAGAAAATTTTGATTGGAGAAGTTTCTAGGAAGCAAACAGAGTTGGAGGTCCCTTAACAATATTGCTTAAACAAGTTAAGGAAAAAATTTTTCACATAAAATTAATGCATAATGAATTGTTAACCCTGGACAACATGACTAAAAGATTCCCTACAAAATATGGAAACCTAAACATGTATGTATACTGCCAACAAGAAGAGAAATTCCTCTTTTCTGAACAGCATTTCAGAAATTCATAAAGAAATATGAAACCAAAATCAAGACTGAATATTCAACAAATGGTCAAAAAGTGTTCAAGTTGAAAAGATACAAGACAAGCAAGTTATCATACAAGACCTTTTGCAAAGATGATATAGGAACAAATTCTTTACAGGAACAAATATCATAAGTATATACTTAGGATTCTTTTCGAAGGAAGACATTGCAGAATAGATTCAAACAATGACCAATGCTAGAATGAAAACTGATGAAGTGAAGCAACTTTTGAAGAAACTGTCAAGAAACATCTGTAAGCAAGTTCGAAAGAAGATATGGAACAACAGATGTGTCAAGCTGCAGGATTCTGGAAGAAAGCTCAAAATATACAAACATAAAGAAAAGAATACTGGTAAAAAAAGAAGTGGAAAAAGAAAACCAAGAGATCAAGAACAAAAAGAAACAAACCTTAAGACAGTACAAGATAAGGAAAAGGATCTCAGTTCACAGACTCAAGACAAAATTCCAATTTTGAATTGAATTAAAGAAGGGAAGAAATAGTTAGGAATATAAAAAGTAGTTTAGATTTTGTTTAGATAAACTGTAGTAATGAACTGCAGGCAATGATCTTTAAGATTGAACTCCATAAGCGAGTAAATCAAAAAGAAAGCAACCTTTTTTATCTTCAAAGTCACACCTAGAAATATTAATTAAAGACAGGTGTTCAAGACAGTAGAATAGTTTATGCAATACAATATATTATATATTATTTGTTTTCTGTATAGATTCAATAAACAGTACATACTTGTTTGACTATGGAAAAATAAATAAATAAATAAATAAATTTAATAACAAATTTAATAAAAGCTTAAATAAGTTTCAAGTTTTAAATATTTATAAAAAACTTTGAAGATTTTATTTTTATTTTTTGAAATATTTCAAAGTAATATTCAAAAAATTATATAAATATATAAAAATATTAAGATTTAAAAATATTTTGTTTGATTTTATATATTTTATAAAAGATTGCATTGATTTATTTTTTCCAAGTGTCTAATAAAAAATGTAGAGCAAATTTAATTATAAGTTATTTAAGATAAAAAAATTTTAAAGTATTTTGAAATTTTAGAATTTTTAAATTAGTAACTATTTTTAAAATAAATTTTAAAGGTTATAAATTTAAGAATTACAGGTTTTAAAATATTCTGAAACTTTTTTGTCATAAGTAACTTATAGTGAAATTTTGTTCTACATATTTTTTATTAAGCACTTGAAAAAAATAAATCAATTTAATTTTGTATAAAACACTTGAAATTAATTAAAACATTTTATATTATACTGTATATTTATTTGAAATTAAATTTCAAAGTATTTTGAAGAATTTTAAAGGTTTCCGAAGATTTTTGAAGATCCCTTAAATTTTTTTAAAAAAAAATTTTTCTTAATGAAAGATAATTTGTTTTAATTAATTTTATGAAATTTTAGAAAATTGAGTTGATTTATTATTCTTAAGTGCTTAATAAAAAATATATAAAACAAAATTTCACTATAAGTTATTTAAAACAACAAAACTTCAGAGTGTTTTGTAATTTCATAATTTATAAATTAGTTATGATTTTTAAAATGAATTTTAAATGTTACAAATTTAAGTATTCCAGGTTTTTAAGGTACTCCAAAATTTTTTTATATTAAATAACTTATAGTGAAATTTTGTTTCACACATTTTTTATTAAGCACTCAAAAAGAATAAATCAATTCAATTTTTTGTAAATGCCTGAAACAAATCAAAATATTTGAATTCCAAAGATTTTCGAATTATTTTATTTCAAAAATTTTTAAAGGTTTGCAGAGTTCTTTGAAATATTTCTCTGAAAATTTTCAAAATTTTTTTTAAAAACGGAGATCTCCAGAGTATTTTCATAAAAAATTTTCCTGATAAAGAAATTATAGAATAGAAGAAATAAACAATGTTAGAAAAGCAGATAAAAAAAAACAAGAATATAAAATATATTAATCAAAAGTGGCAAGAAATAAAAAAGAAAAGGAAAAAATAGCAAACAGAAAAAAAAACTTGGTGAGAAAGCTATTAGAAAGATAGGTTAAAAATATAGACAAAATGATAAAAAACAATTTTTTTTATTTATATACTAGTAATATTAACAATAGCAATGCCTTGGCATGTTAGTTTCAATCTCTATCCAATAGGAAAAGTTGATAATAACAGTTGATATCTAGAAAAATCTTGATATAGTTTAGCATACACTTATCAATTAATGTTATAATATAATTTATATACAGAAATGTATATGAATATATGTAAATATTGACCTTAATAAAGTTTGCTAAGCAAGGTTCAGCTAGTTTAAAATATATATATATATATATAATTGAGTAATTATTTTTGAAGATGGACCGGAAATTTTCTGGTGTGATCCTAAATTTATATTATATAAGTATTGTTTAAAAGCTAGGTCCGAAAAAATCATACCTAGCATTTCTGTCGCCTTCAAAAATAATTACCCAATTAATAATATAACTAGTAATTAGTTATTATTTACTTTTTTTTCTTGAGTTTTAAAGTTTCAAATATATCACCTATATTTTTGACAGATTTTAATTAATTTATTTTTTGTAAAAATCATTAACATAATGGTAATTTAATAAAAATCATGCATTTTAATGCTTATAAAAAAAAAAAAAAAAGTTAAAATTTCCTAACAAAAATAATTAATTAAATCTAACAAATCATTAAATAAATTAAATATAATTAAGTTTTTTATAAAAATTATATTTTAATAAATTTTATGTAAAAAAATATTTTATCAAATAATTAAAAAAATTTTTTTTTACACTATACGCATATTATTAAATGTACTAGAAATTAACAAATAAATAAGAATTTTTAATTAATTATATAAATCGCAGGAGTTACTTATGGGAGTGATTGAAAGTTAAATTTTAATAACGGTCAGTGAATTGCAATATAACAAACCAATTTTTTCATTCACATGATTCAGTCTGTATAATGTTCAAAGTTGGAGACTCGCTAAAGTATTCGCAATCACGCCTATCCATTTGACTAAAATATTAACTTATTATATCCGGGTGTTCGAAAAAATAGAGAGAAAAATTAACATAGTGCACGTGATTTAATCAACCCCAAGCGGCACTGGTGCAATAATTTATTATTAAATGTTGTTCTGTACTAAAACACTAAAGAATGAATAAGATAAGTCAGTCATGAAGATATTTGCTAGAGGACGCTTTCTTGAATATTGAAATACCTTATGCAAATTGGAAACAATCTCGTCAGGAGCTGGGGAAAATGCGCTGTTTATGTATAAAAACTAAAAGTTCGGAGCAAGAGCCATGAGATCATGCGATGGAATGTTCGGATAATTTCATATAAAAAATTGAACATTCACCAAAGGGTCAGATGCTTTGTAATTGAGTTCCTTTCTTAGGAATTGGATCACGGCTTGAAATTTACTAGACGCGCCTATTTTATAGAAATTTTGTTTTAAAATAGGAGCATTTCCTATGGCCCTGAACCGTACGACAACTTTTCAATCATCAGCATATACCGAGAACGTGATTAGTACAAAAGTTATAATAAGGTAAGATTGAGCTATGCAAAGAAATCATAAAACACCTCTGCTTGAATCCTTCTTTTTATACTTTTCTAGAGCTGTGGTGGGATTTAGAGTCACTTGCGGGGTAGAATTTTCGGCATGAGTTGTATTTAGCGAGGTAGAATTAGGAAGCGACGTATCAGGTTTTACTACAGACATCATGGTATAATCTAGGGAAAGAAATGTCAATAAAAAACATTTATTATGTATCATTTGTAAGTCATGTGAGCTAGATTTTCCAGATTCCTATTTTTAATTTCTTTTTTTTTCACTTTTTTTTTTTTTTACAATGTATTCGAATCGACTTTTCTCGCGTGTATTGTTCACGACTTCTGATGCCCTTGGTGCAAGAGCCAGTGTTGGCCTACAAACCAATGTGACACGCAAAATGAGCGCATTTGCTAAATTCATGGAAACGATAAAGGAGCAAGTTGAAAAGAATAAAGAATTACAAAGAAACGTAAAATTATTGCAGGATCGCGCCGGACAACTCGGGGAATCCGAAACTTTACGAAGGGCAAAGGAAGCATACGCCAAAGCTAAGGTGGCAAATCCAATTTATTATTATTATTATTTATTTTTAAAAAAAACTAAATGAATAATCATAATTTCGATTCTTTTTGTGTTCTTACTTGTAAGGATCACTTCATTAAAGCAATTTCAAGATAATTAAATTGTTATTAATGTTTTTCAGGAAGGTGCCGAGTCTACTACAACGATTGGTTCGGAAAAACTTAGGAAATCTGTGGACGAAATCAAAAAAACAGCCGAAAAGATAGGATCCTCGGTGTCGGACACGTTAAAAGAGGTTGGCGAGACACCGTTTGTTAAGGGAACTCAAGAGAAGGTCGGTTGAAAAGTAGAAATTCCCAAATGTAATACGTTCTATTATTTAGATGTATATCTTTATTGTTGCCCTAGATTTCAACGTTGACAGACAAAGTTTCTGCATCCACTGAACCAATACGGAAAACTAAAGCGTATACAAATATTCGGGATACACTAAAAGAGACAGTAGGTGACGATGCATCGCGATATGGGGGATTCGTTGATAAGGAGACGAGGCAAAGAATGAAAGAAAAGGCCATGAGTTATCACGGAACACCATTTCCGCAAAACCCAGAGTAAGCCTCTCTTTTATTGAAGAGATTGGGAATGGAATCATTGAGGAATTTTTTAGTCTGATAAATTTTTATGGCTTACAGACGCAACATTCCAATTTTATTCTCACAGAGCTGGCTCATCCATGGTACTTCACAAAGATTCAGCCTGGAAAGAAAGTTGGAACAAGTTTAAGGAAAATAATCCAATCATGCAAGGTTTTAATTTAATTTTTACTTTTATGATGAATTCAAGTATATACATCTTATTCTATCTCAAAATCACGTCATTCTCACGTTTTTAAAGGGATATTTAACTTAAAAAGAAATTATCAAGATAGTGATAATATTTTTGTTGCATACACCCGAGCATTTACTGACCGAGTATCGGATGCATTAGGTGAGTATTTCTTGTGCTGTCATTTTTTTGGAAAGCATTAATCAAATTGGTATATCAATTATCGTAGGATCTTTCTTCGAAGAGAATGAGACCGCTCAGGCAATCTCCCAGTTAAAGTTGATAGATCCGAGATTTAACGTTGAGGATTTCTTGAGAGAAGCTCGAGAATACATTGTGCCCGAAATTATGGAGGCTTATTTGAAAGGGGACACCGAAACCTTAAAAAAATGGTGTTCAGAGGCGGTAATGTTTTGTTATCATTTCCTTTTTTTTTTGTGTTCACCGAGAAAATATTCAGCTGTTGAAATTTATGGTTACAGACATATACTGTGCTTACACATGGAATAGACGATCAAAAAGGTCTTTTGAATGATTCAAAGATACTTGACATCAGAAATGTTGAGGTAACTCGGTATTCCGTTATTCTACAGTAATGCATCTTCCTTGTTAACCAATTATTCAAATGAAAATTTTCAAAAGCTCTTTGCGGCAAGGGTATTGGAAAATGGTTTGCCGGTCTTAATCATATCTTTTAACACACAAGAAGTAATAGTATTTCGCGATAAGATCACACAAAAGATAATGTATGGGCGTGACGATCAAATCGATCAAGTTACATATGCTTGCGTAATTACCAAACAAGAAGATAGCGCTGATCCTTTTACTAATGGATGGAGGATTATAGGTAATAGTCGAATTTTTTTATTCTTGTCAATCACGCGTCTCTGTCGTTGTTCTTGTTTTTTTATATTTACTTAAATTTTTCTGATTAAAAGAGATGGCAAAGAATAGGTCGCAACAGTTGTTATGGTAGAAATTATGATCAAATATTTACACCTGTATCAAAGAATCTGGTGCCAATGTAAAATAGTTATGTTTTAATGTGAGTCAGAATCGACCCTTACTATAAATACAAGTATATTCGCGATCACCGTTCAATCCAATATTAATGTGACATTCATTAAACCTCATCCATTATGGAAAGCAATCAATCCACAAAGTACGGCAGCTACTAGAAATATAAGGCTAATGAAAAACCAAATTACGCCCCACACTTGCGAGGGACAACATTTAGTCAGTTTTGCAAATTTGCTTGCGTCAGATTCGTTGACTTTCCGGATTACTAAATTGGGTAGTTGAGTCAAAGTTATGATTAGAAGAAACTATTGATTATGATACAAATAGAAAGAATTGTACGCACCCAAATCATCCAATATATCCCACACCGAATAGAGACATGACATCACGCTAATGTATAGGAATGCATGATAAAAGATGTGGTTTTATCAAAATAAATCAAAATAAATCAAATAAATAAATAGATAGAAAAGTGACATACCCAATAAATAAGACGACATATCGCAATCCAGCCCCATCTTTGATAAACCATAGAGCCACGATGACGCCCACGGAAACGACCGTGATAATTCTGGTCAACCAATTTCTTGCCCACCACAAAACAATAATTAATAATATGCCAAGCACAATTGACGCATATTTTGAAGCGTTCACTTGGAATCCACAAAATATGAGTATAGCCCCTATTAATGACGATCCAAGATACCCTACATTTAAGATGAAAACAACCTTGAGGGATAATATTCTTGCTATGTGAGAAATCGATAACGTAATTCAAACTGTATTTACCAGCTGGCAACGTGCAACATTGAATTCCGCCTTGCTAATCATATGCAGGTTGATAACATACTTAATATCACATGTAGAAATGAAAATATGATTGAAATAACGATTCATTGATTTACCATTCTTGTGACTCCCCCTTCATTTGGATCAACCTCAATCCCTTCAATTTTGGCTCCCGTACAACAACCCACTGCAGCGTGCGAAAACTCGTGGAGCGCAACAGTTAATAACTAGGAGGAAAGTATGTTTAGTGGAAGAAATTAGATATTTACTTTCGCATTCAACAACGCGTACAATACCTTGAGGGGATAAAGAATCACATTTATTTTGGGGACATTCCAAAAAATCAAAATTACTATAATGTAAACTCCGATAATTATCAGTGTGTTCCTCTCGTCTTCGTTTGGGTTCAGGTCATTTACTATATCTCGTTTAAGTAGTAGTTCGACGTGCTCGTGTATAACTGGCATTTTATTTATCTGGTTGAAAAAAATACAGCAGGAATTTATTCGAATCGCTTTTCCTTCTCTTTCGCTATACCTCCGGAAGATAAGCAGGACCTAAGGTCGTTGATTTTGGTAAAGCCTTTTGGGTGGGAGAGGGAACAGGCGGTAAATATATCTATTTTGCCTTTTGTAACACAAGGATCAACCCATCCTGACGCTTGGCGATTTCGATTGTTGGTCACCAGGTAGTTAGCTAAAATTAGACGCTACACTGTTATTCCTGCTATCCGTCGGAATGCAGAGTGTGGGTTTATTTAAAAACTTCATGTTTCGTGTTCTAGAACTTTAGCTTGTTTAAGAAAGGCGTATATATATTGTGGCGTGTTCTTTTTGCTTCTTGATTTAGGTGATCATTAAACTAAAATCGTATCCCAAATTATGGGGCCAACCAACCAATGATCACACGAATTTGACAATAGGGGGATTAAATGGGAATCTATAATAAATTTTTAACAAAGCGATAATGTTTAAACTAGTTGAAGTTTGTGACACTCGACACGTCAAAGAACACGATTTTTATGGTGATCCTGATAATTGGGTAGCTTAGCTTAGGATGATGGGAGATATCGATCACAACAGATTCTCAAAGTCCCGAGAACAAACGCAAAGATTCAATAACAATCCAGAATCCAGTTCCACCGTACCAAAAATTAAAGTTTTATTTCGTAGCGAGGAGTTTTTAGTGGTCGATAAACCGTATGCAATTATTTTTTTGATCGAATTAAAATGAATTATTCTATTTCTATTAAATTGGTTTTCCACAATCGTGAAAGAAAAGTTATGATGTTAGAATTGATGGAGATGTTTCAAAAGGATCTACAGGTAATTTATCTTGTTTTCTTTTCATCTGCGCAAATTAGGATGTCTTGAACCTTGTTGTTATCTCTAACCAACTCTCAATTCAGTATTATCAATCTTGTGCGATCAAGAACCAGATATACCTAAACCGCTGCGTAATGTCCATCAACTTGATCATTCCACTTCAGGATGTTATTGTCTAGCATTAACAAAAGAGGCAGCTGGACTAGCTAGCGTTGCCTTTGCACAAAGAAGAGTCGAAAAGAATTATTTGGCAATCGTTCGAGGATGGATGGAAGAGGATGCGTATGTAGTTTGACGATCGAGGATTTATGTGAAAAAAAAAAAATAATTCATTGTTGGAATGCTCAATGGCATGTAAATTTTTGTAAAGTAGGTATACAGTAGAACAACCAATTGCCGAAGTCCCTAATAATCGATATCGAATGTGTATTGGATCAGAAGATAATCCTGGAAAGGTAAATGAGGGTTTGGTGACATTATTTATTCTCAAAACATCGTATTCACTGGTCTATTCAATTTTAAAGGCAGCCAAAACAGAGATTCGAGTAATACGAAGAGGATATTTCTACCCAATGCCTCTTCAATTATCTTCGTCCAATAGTCCCATAAATGTAACATTAATCAATCTTCGTCCGATCACGGGTCGAAGACATCAATTGCGTTTACATTGTCAATATTTGGGACACCCGATTGTTGGTGATTGGCATTATGAAAAGCAATCGATGGATTACACCGACACTTTTCGTATGATGTTACATGCTAAAAAATTGATGATCCCGCTAGAAAAAGTTAAAAAAAAAAAGAATAAAAAAAAGATTCATCATGCTGCACAGGAAGTAGTAACAAATAATAGCGAAGATGAAGCCATAAGAATTTTACAGGTAGAATCCAATGACCCGTTTTCCGAATTGGTCCTTGAAAATTTGATAAATAATTAATAACTCGATGATTAAATTTGAATTGTAACTTTACATGGGATTTTATTTCTGCAAATGTACCTGTTCCACCGGACAATATTATACTTACCAACGAGTATGTACAGTATATCCATGCTATTTATTATTATTATTGTAAACATTCTTAAAAATTGATGTTCGAAATTTAAGAATTATAAAAACAGCATTAAGTAGAGGTACCTACTTTCGGTCATTCCTTCCTCAATACAAATAACACCGACTGTCTTTTTTCATCCATGTTTCTATAAATCCCACACAAAAACATTTACTAAAAGTAAAAAGGAGAAGCAGATTTTCATTTTTCATCGATTGTACACAGAAATCTTTTATAATCTCAAAATGTGTTTATTTATGATGCATTAACATCATTGACACGCCGACCTCCACGTTCTCACCTCTACCATCTTTTATTCACTCATTCATGAAAGGAGGATTTTGTTTTTTGAGAAAGTGCAGGGGACAGTAAAATCGAACGATTTTTGCTCCTTTTTAGAACTTTCCTCCTCGCCCACCTCCACCACTGCGCCCCCTAGCATTTCCTTCTCTCCCTAAGGGTACCAGAAAATGATCAATCAATCGTGGAATAAAACGATCACGCATTTTCTCGGAAACGATATTTACCGCGCCCAGTGTTTCCACGAGCTCCACCTGATAACCAGCATTTGCAATAAAAATAATAAATCACGAAATGCTCTCAAGCAAAAATCGGAATACTATGAAAGGTTTAAAAAGTAAATCTTACGTCCACGACTTCCACCACTAGAAGCTTGTCGTTGCCTAAAGGCATCTTCTTTTACCATCTCTATAATCTGGAAAACAAAAAATTTAATTTAATTTATACAGAAATGATGAAACTTTCTAATATTTTATCGGGTTAATTGTCTCTTACCTCATCTGGCACGCGGAGATATTTAATCTAAAACCAAAGCAACGTGTTACTACCACTTAATTTTGCATGAAATCGTCATCATTATTATTTTAGAAATAACATACGGTGTTTCCTCTAATGTAACATTCGGGTAATCGCCAAAATCTGTTGCCTTCCTAAGGGATCGTTTGAACCGTTTGCTTAGCAAGAAAACTCTAAAAAAGATAATGTAATGCAAAGAGAGACAGTTTACCGGTGAGGTTTGTATGACTTCTCGTAGGGTCAAATTCATCCAATTATCACAATTTACCAAATGTCCATTAAACGTTTCCCCATTTTTCAATTCTACAAGCTTCAGGGAAAAAAGTCAGATACAGTTATCATTTGTTCATTTAAAACAGAATTTTGCGATGCCGAAGGTTCTTACGATACCATTGGGTGCCCCTGAGCAGTGTTTAACAGAGAAAGCGGTAGCTAATTGCAACCAAAAAAAAAAACAATAAGTGAATGTAGCGCGTTATGTAAGCATGACGGGTTAACATACCATTATGAAAACAAATGACGCGTTTATTAAAAGAAAAAAAACTAGTTGGAGATATATGAAATACTTGCTGTACGTCAATTTATGGAACTTGCAATGTCCGATAATTTGATTGGCTGAATTCTTTGTAAATGCAGTGCATGCGACCTGCATGTTTATCTTCTTTCGGCATCATTGTTTTTTTTTTTGGTAACTGAACACAAAATGTCTACTAAGGCGTCGCCTGAAACTTCGAATTCAGGTGAGCTCTCGCGTGGACGTTAAACGAAGACGAATGGGTTAACGAGAAATCTTTTTATTCTGCATATAGCTTCTAATGCTTCCATAACTGGGATAAACGCATACCTTGTTTTATACAATGTTGTCTCCTGGGCTGGCTGGACCTATGTTCTAGGCTTAACTTTATCAGAGCTTGCGCAGAACAATTTGGACTTCACGACCGTGTACGATCGAGTCGGATGGTTGGTAACGATGGTGCAGACCGGTGCCATTTTAGAGGTAATATACAGTAGCACACCGTTACTCTCGTGACATTCACAAAGATTCCAGACTTTGGATTTTTTCTAACCAATTTATCATAAAAGATCCTTCACGTGATTATTGGTGCGTTTGACTTTTTTCAAAGAAACGTTTTGGAAGAAGTAAGCATTAAATTAAATTGTTGCTCTAACTAGGTTTCGTGAAGTCACCGCTTTTCACCACCACTTCGCAAGTTATGTCCCGATTAATTCTCGTGTGGTTGATAGTTGATGTCTTTCCTGAGGTGAATATCTCCACAATAGACATTAGTAATGTTTCATAACTTTAAGGTATAATTCAAAGAGATTCTGTTACAGGTACGTTCTCATTGGGCATTCGCGACCATGGTAATAGCATGGTCGACCACCGAATGTATCAGATATGCGTACTATGGATTCAACCTTGTCAAAAAACCCCCTGGTTGGTTACTATGGTGCAGGTATTGATCTTATTATTTTAAATTGATCGGCATGAAGAACGAAAATATCCGATTTACGATTCCTTGCATAAATGATGTCCACAGATACACCTTTTTCTTTGTACTATACCCTCTTGGAGCGGGAAGCGAAGCTATACTGATCTATCAATCTCTTCCTTACTCCATGCAACTCAGTAAAATTTATTACTGGATTGAAATCTTCATCTTGTTCGGTTACATACCTGGTGAGTTATGTGCGAATAATGATCAATCTATTGGAATGCGATGTTTAATGACTTCTCTTTGTACAGGATTTTATACCATGTACACCCATATGATCGGTCAACGTAAAAAATATTTGGGCAAAGGCAAATCGAAAAAAGTCGAATGAAAAAATTTTGGATTATTTATTATTACCTATAAATGTTTATTTATTTATTTATTGCATTAGAAAGTAAAAGTAAAAAAAAAATTGTCATTAGAAGGGTGTGAATTCACATTTATCACCATTGACTATGTGATTCCCTACCTAAGAAATTTATCAATTTTAAAAAAATAAATAAAAACTCGTATTTAACCATCGACTTCTGTATCTCACCAAACACTTTCCATTTTGGTGGACGAACCGAAATAGGAAACTTGGGATTCTATTTTTAGACTAGAAAACAAACATTCAACAACGTGATTTTCAAAGTCTATAGGTGCAGGGTATCGAATTTCTATTTCAGGGGTATTCGAAGTAGCGACTCGAACGGTTTGCGACCTTACGTTGAGGGTCATAGAACAAACGTGATATCACAGGGTACCGCGCTACTTATGCACGCGCGCCTCTTGGGTACTTTGGTTTCTTTTGGAGTTGGTTATATCACTTGTTACTACAATTTGGTGACCAAGTTGTTCGAGGCTTTTAATGACATCCCGTCAACTACACATAAGGTACAAGTCATGAACCAGTGGGTTTTCGCGCATACCAGGAGGTTGACAGCTCGTCTTATCGCCTTCTGCGTTTTTTTTTACGTGCAGCGTCACCTTCTTTACGTATTTGTAGGACTTGGATTTCTTTTTCTCCTTATTCTTATTCCTCTCTATCGAATCGCGGATTACGAGTCTAGACGAGTGAGTTTCTTGCAAAGTACCCATTGACCTTCTTTCCAAGTAGGGATTAATTCTCAATTTTTAAATTCCAGAACGACAATTATCCACACAGAACCTCAGCTAGAGAACATCTTAAAAGGAGAGGAAGTCTTTGACCTTGACGAGATTAAGGTGAGTAAATGTATAAGCATGCGAACCTGTGGATCATTTTAAATTCGATAGTCATTCGTCTTTTCACAGTACAATGGATGCACCCGGAGTTGTCTCCAAGATATTCTGGCCAGCGTATGCGTGTTCAATAAAGACGAAACCAGGTTTTCTGGTCGGTTGGAACGTTCGTAACTTCACAACCTGTATTGCCACCGTCATTTCAAACGTGAATGTAAGCGCATGAATTCCTAAAGGATGATCGTATATTTAAAGTATTATTGAATAAGTTCTTGAATTTTAAGCTTACAGATTTAGAATCCACTTTATCCGCGTTATCAACAGATAATAGTTCATCATTTGTTTATATGGACGAAGTATGCGGTGCACCACCTATTGTCCTGGGAGTTATGACTACGCATTTTGATGAAAGGGATGATGCCCGTAATATGCTTAATGCCGAAGGTACCGATTTATCGGGAAATCAGTAAATTTTATCGAACTTCAATTGATACATATCCGTCATTAATAGGTGTCGCGGAAAAGACGAAAACAGCGAGTATATGGTTGCACATTCAATTACAATCTAACAATATGCCTTCACTCAGGTGGAACGCTTATTCACCACTTTCTCGATTTCACTTATGTTTGTACGCATGTCTGTGTTAAAAATGTTGCCATCCTTTCATAGATCTATATATCATGGTGGATATCGATATTCAGATGTCAGTTTGGAAATTATTTTTTACAAGCAACCAAATCCCACCAGGCTTCAATATCTTTCGCTTGAACCTTTGGTACTTGATATACAAAAAAACAATGGTCATAAGGCTGAACAAGATTTCACTACCATTGAGAACATGAAAAAAATTATCAGTACCAAGCTACACTCTTCCGGAAAGCAACGGATGCCATTTAATGATATGGAGCTCATCTTGAACCAGGTGTGATGTTTATAATACAGCGCGAATTATCTCATCTTATAGTTATCATAGTATTTAATCAATGGTACTTGGTGAATCTGAATGTTAGATCAATTCATCTTTTGAAACTGAAAAAGCCATCATATCTAGATGTCGTTTTATCACCGCGAGGCGTCATCGAAGTGCCAGCGTTTCGGAGACTGTGAAAAAATCTGCTTTGGGGATAGGAATGTTCATAAAAAATATCGTGCTTTATCCGGTACACCATCTGGTTTCCGTTATCCGGCCATTTCTTGCTCACCCAATAATATTATTTCTCATGCTGGTGCGGATATTCGCTGATGTGGTGCTTCGGATCTTGAATCTAAGGTTTCCGCTGTGGATTTTTAACGGGACCGCTCTGAAAGATTTGTTTGCAACATGTAATTTCAGATAGTGGGTTGTATTTCTAAAATCTTTGTCTATCATCGTATTGAATCCATGTGCTATTTGTGCAATCTTAAACGCAGCACAGCAGATCGATTTGCGTCTCCAGCAAGCAAGTTTTTGGCCTTGGCAATACATGTTATTGCGGCGAAGAGATTGGACTAACACGGCGACAACTCGAGCGCAGTACATAAGGTAAAATATTTATTCGAATTGTCATCCGTTTACACTACTTTTTTCCAAAAATAAATCATGTGGAAACCTTTATAATTGCATTTGTTCAAGTTTCTACAATAGTATGTGGCTTGTCGCGAACGACATAATAATAGGCTTAACAATAGGATCTTTTCTCATAAACAATAGTGAGTACGTGGCAAATATCTTACTAAAGGACTATCTTGATGTAAGGAATATCAACACACATGTAACTTTAATTTACGAACATTTACGGATATCTATTTTTCTTAACAAAAAATTTCTTTAGTACTACACGATCGCAAAGTTAGTGTCAATGATCGAATGGTTGATGGGTTGGCCGGCAGGCCTTAAATTAAATAGTGAACTGGATAAATTTCTAGGGGAACTTTTTCTTTGGCTAATTGATTGGTGGAGAGGTATCAAACAAATCAAGAACCTTGTGTGCATCTGCTTATTTCTCCCTCATTTTTCGGTTGAAAGAAGTTTCTTTCTTCTCCTCCTAGATTGCGTGATAACTGTCGGTCCATTAACACCAAAAATAATTGAATTAATTGGACTGTCCGGGGTTCTGGGTGGAACGATTGTTTTATCACTTCTCTCTGACTTTCTGTCATTCATGACATTACATATTTATTTGTTCTACATGGTTGCGGCAAAAATTTTCAATTGGCAATTGAATATTCTTTATTCTCTATTTAATTTATTTCAAGGTATTTACTTCTTTAGACACTTATAAAAACGGTCAGAATTGTACTTAACTTTTTTTTTTTTTTCGGCAGGAAAAAAATGGAATACTTTACGGAATCGCATTGATTCGTGCGATTACGATTTGGATCAATTACTCTTGGGCACAATATTGTTCACATTATTGACGTTTCTTTTTCCCACCATTTTAGTATATTACGCCACGTTCGCAACGGTAGGTGTTTGTACCATCAGTTTTTGAGACACAAGGTTACTACTGTTCTTAATCATCATTTCATTAAACTTCCAGAGTAGAGTCGCCGTTATCTTCTTACAAGCAGTTATGGAAACACTCTTGGCATTCCTCAATCACTTTCCATTGTTCGCGATCATGCTAAGATTTAAAGATCCAGAGAGATTGCCGGGTAAGTATACCGATTAAATCACTAAGAGATATGATTATAGATAAGTTTCACGTTTATTCACCTGATACGTAGGTGGATTGAGATTCGAGATATGTAATCCGAATTACTTTGCACCTCACGGAATTGCGAGGATGGTTCAAGGAATCAAATCTTTTTGGCCTCGGTTGGATAGATATGACGCGCCGGACACGAGAATAAATGTACAAAGATTGATCGAACCGCAAAAAACGACTCGAATAAGGAAAGATCGGATAATGACTGCTATTAAGGAAAATGCTAACTCGGATGTTTTTTCCATCGATTCTACTTTTCACGCGAAACAATCGTTTCCGCAAAGAGTGAGCTATCTCTTTATGCAGGTACATTATTATTATTAAGTCACGAAGAAGAATGAATTAAGTGTCTAAGCCTCAGTCTTTATAATCAACAGAATTTACCAATACCACTATCCGCAATATTTTTTCAATACCTACTACTCTGGAAACAGTTGAGTTCACATTATTTTTCATTCTACGTCTTACGTTGCCTTGTGAGCGGTGAAACCATTAAACACATAGCCAGGCTTCAATATCCAATGTTACCTGAAACTAGGTAGGCCTCTGTATATTTTTAGTCTTTTCTTGATACTTTGTAAGCTTTTAACGACATAATTTTATTATTAGACCTAATTTATTGAGCTTTTGGCTGTTTCTCAAAATAAGTTTTGCAGAACAAGAATAATATAAAAAAGGAATGATTTTGATTTTTTGAAAATAGAAAGTTTCTATACCAGATATATATTTATAAATCGTGAACTGTTGATTTTAAAAACCAACAAAATAAACGATATTTTGCCTAATAAGACACGATAGATTTCTCTTTAAAATGCTGCCATCACTCTCATATCTTCAATCTTCTTTTGTATTTCTGCTGGTGTTCGATCTAGCTCTTCAGCAATCATCCTTTTCTTTTCCATTGGCAATAAGTTGTATTGTTCACACAGATCTCCATCAACCACACTCTTCACGGGAGTATAAAAACTTCGATATTGTAGATGGTCGCGTCCTGCCAGTGGTGGAGACTCATTTCTCATGTGCATTTCAAGAGTTTGAAAGAAATCTATATCTTCACGCGTCAAAAATGGTACAAATACTCCGATGTTTCCCATTATTCCGGTGTATACCAGAATCTCACGTCCTCCAGCCACAAGTGTCGTCCGATGAAGCGATGTTATGATGTCTCCCACGTGATAATGTGAAATCATAGAAACCTACGAATCAATGAGCTCATGAGATCTAGAAATTTATTTATTTTTTTATTTTATTTATTGTTATTATTTTTTGGTTGTCAAAAAAATTACCTTATGAGGAGCTCCCATCAGGTATCCTTTTTCATACATTATCTTGTTACCAGTGGGATCTTCATCCACCTCTTCACTCGTTTCTGCCGGCAGACGATCAATAAAAAAGTTTCCGAACTTGTCACCACCAGCTATTGTATCGTAATCTATCATGGCGGTGGTTGTTATCCATCTTGGTGTCGTATCATCAGCAAAGATAATAATGCGATTATCGTGTTGTCTGTAAGAAGCATAGTGCACCGCCTCTTGCATGTCACAGACAATAATGCGATTTCCTTGTGTATGTAAATTAACGATACAATTTGGAATCGCCTTTTAAACACAGAATATCGTTAGGAAATTTAATTCATTTTTAAGGCTTTGGACCAAATGTATGGATGGCTAACCTTGGATTCGCATTTTCGTAAAAGCTTCCTTTTTCCCAGATCGTATATTCTTAATGCTTTACCAACACCGGCGAGAAGTCTGCCTTGGAACCCCAATAACGCTAAAGGCACGTCATCACATTGAGTCTAAACAAGACGAAATGTGTGGTCATTTCAGGTTAAATATTCCTCTTATGGTAAAAGAAGCATAGATAAATGTAAAATTACCTTGTGAACCAATTTCAAGGAATTCCCTTCATCTACAAACTGATATACGTGCAAGTAACCTGCCGAGCAAGTGCGCGGCGCCAAATTCGCGTCCTTTGCAGTTCCAATAACCAGGAATAATTCATTGTTTTGACCATGGAAGTTTACTGTAGCAACACTTGAAAGGGCATTAAAAGTTATGACTGATGATGACTAGCATAGATGAAACAGTAGTTATAATCTACTAAATACCTAAACGCCGCCTCATTATCCTCTAGCTCAATCAATGATACCGTCTCTCCCTGAAATGGATTAATAACTCTGATGCATGAAGCCCATTTACCAACTTCAGCTTTGGGCAATCCAAATGTTTCCGGTGGCAAATCCAACAAGTTTGGATCAAATTGAAAACCGTTTTGTACTTTTACTTCTAAAGCTTTTGCCTTTTCTGTTGGAGAATAAGTATTATGTTCACTTTCGATAACAACAAAATTTCTTGAAATTGGATGAAGAATAAAGTGGCGCGGGGTATATTTAAGCTGGATAAAGGCTTGATTAAATACGGTGCCAAGTTTTTCAACGGCAAATATCCGTAAGGTATTCGCAGAGATAGCGACAATACCCTCGGGAACTTGTGGCGAAGTAAAATTGGAACCATACTCCAACATATCATAGGAAAGTGGCGTAAGATTTAACCGCGATTGAAAAGTGTAACTTAACCAAGGTCGACTTGATAGTGCCAGAACAGCAGGAGCACCTTGTATCTTAACTTGAAAGAGCTTTACCGGTCGAGCTCCCAAAAATCTATATAGATATATAAGATTCACACACAAGTTTAATAATTAGTCACGAGAACTTAAATCAAAGGGTGTGTTACATACCTTTGTCTAGTATCAGTCAGTGCGCCAGTAATTGTATCTAGCACAGTGCGTTGTAAGACTCCATTTTGCAATCCGATGTTAAGATAAAGAGTTCCGTGAGATGCGTCAGTCCCAATATCCATCATTTCAATTATGGACAAGGATTGAGGTGGCACGCTCAAACCCTACCAAAGATTTTTTCGATAACAAATTTATACCGACCATAAATTGGAACGAAATAACCGCAAATATTTAGTTACTTATCAATTTACCTGCGTACTGAGAATCTCCAAGGTATTATCAGGATCAAGGGAGAGAATCCGCACAGTATTATCGTCGCAACCTACAGCCTTTGACAATCATTATTCATAGAAAGTAAATATATGTCATTTATTAAATTCATTGTGTAAACCCGATAACTACCAGAAACTTCGATCGTTGTCTTCCTTCAGGAACCTCGCCAATACTCAGACACGATACGTTTGACGTCATCTCCTTGCGTTCCTGATATTCGTTCAACTGTCCCTGGTTATCCAGCTCAAAGTATACAAGTTCCCCACCAGTTAATGCTATGACGACCTGACGCTTGTTAGTGGCGGCTTTAACTATTGCCCTATTTCCAGGGGTTTTCCATTCATTGACGCGACGATCCGCGCGTATATGCCTTATACCTTGGGGGTATATCTGTTATACAAAAGTATAGAAGATTTGCTATTAACATAAATTTTATTGCTAATTCTGATTGCAACATAATCCTAACCTGAAGCAATGCATCTTCACCAAGTTGATGGACATCCAAAGTGGGTGTTGTCGAAAGGAAGCCAGTATCAGTTACTTCTTCTACTGTTTCACCGATCGACAGCACCAATGTCGCGTTCACGAATGACACAATTATGTACGCATCGAATTCATCTAAGAAAGTCCAAAGGTCAGAGAAAACATGAGAGTGTAGTTGACATAAAGCTTTGTAAGCTCTTACCATCAGTTCTCAATTTCGTTGTCCATACAGCGTTAGGATTACCAGGTAATTCTGAAACGGCCATCTCCGAAACTTCAAGACCATGCCTCAGTATTCTAAACGTCGAACCCGCACCTCGGCCACACAAGGCATACAATTGTGGTGTGTCATCGTCCGTAAGATTAAGAACCTAATAAATTTGACTCTTTCATTTTAATCATCATAATAAGAATAAAAAATAAATAATTACAATTCGTGAATCGGGTATTTACTTTAGCATCTATCAATGGATTCAAACTCTCTAATTCGTCAGCACGTTCTAAATTTTGCAGCTCTCTTGGCGTGAAATATGCCGACGTCAGATGGCTGGAATCCATGTCCATAAAATCATTGCTTGACCATTCTGGTTCATCATTGTCATCGCCAAGACTTGTGAATGAATACAATCGACTACCATAATAAATGTGTTATAGATGATGTTATATTAAAGTCAATCGATGTTAGAATGAAGACATTAGAAAAATTCAGATCAAAATAACCAATTGACATACTGATTCCCGAATTCGGCAGCTACAAACAAGAAACCAGCTCTTAGTATACATAACGACGCCGCGATAGGCACGGTATCAAAATACTTTATTTTAATGGCGTTCACCTTATCATCCTCGTAATCAAGTGTTACTTTATAAATGTCGCCTTCTTCGCTTTGAAGTAAAAAAAAGAAAACGCCTTTCATCTTGTGCATAACACCAGCAACAATTATTAGTCCACGCGAAGGATCCTCCAGGGGATTTCTGCGACGTGGAATGGGAACTCGAAGTTCAGGCACTCGTTGGTGTTTGTAGGTTATGAAATTTTCCGAACAAACCAATACTCCAGAGGGACCATCATTCCCACCAGGAACTGATATGTGATGTGTTGTAAAATTAGACTTATGCATATATTTTCTTTGAAACAACCCTCAAGAGATAAATATTCACCAGAAAATAACATATTCGCCCTCGCATCAACCGGATCGCTCCATTTTCTTACTACATGGTTGAGGCCAAGATCCAATTCATAATATGTTAACATCTGCGACATCAAAAAATAAACATTAACTATTGAATTCGAATAACGCGTTGAGGAAATCATACATTGGACAAAGACACTATTAACAAAGTAATAAGAAGTGACTCGCCTTTTCGGTACTATTGAATGCCTCACCAGTCGGATCTAGATCGGCCTCTGAATAATCGACTTCCAAACAAGCGAATACTGGATTCTCGTAACCAACATCCAGACCTATGCAATGGTGTACCAACGTATGTGATTTGTGTGCCTCTAGAGGAGATGATATGGTCAGGTTGGCCGCTGAATCGCGATTAAGAATGTACACTAGTTTCTGTTTTTCAATAGCGCCTGTGTTTTTGTTAAATAAATCTCACCTACGTAAAAAAAATCGCAAATTAAAAAATGAAAATACATGTAATTACTCACCAATCATAACAGATCTCCCTTTAGGGTCCACTGCCAAATATTGCCCGGGCACTATTCGACGGCATCCAGACTTTCCAAAAGTCTCCTGATGAATTTTTTCAAATTTATTTCTAGTTGGATTATATTCCAAAATGACAACACGCCCTGAGTCTGAACCAACTATAATATAATCTACAGATAACCCATATTATATAAACCAAAGTTTAAAAAAAAGAACGCGTGTACCCTAAACGGCCGATTATCAGAATAGGGTAATTGATAAAGCACACACCTTTTGAGCCACCTGTTAGACGAAAGGGCGTTAAAGACCTTATTATTCCGAAAACATCGTGAGTTAAGAGAGTCTGTAGTTTTCCTGAATTTGGATCAGCCTTAAGGAGTTCCAAACGTGTCACCCTCGAAACAACGATCTCCTGCTGTTTAGTTCCCGAGAAGTGTCCGACAATAGCAACATTGATGGAGGTAGGAGGTTGCAAAGTTAAATTGTAGAGAAACATATTTGCAAAGATATTTGCAAAGGACTAAAGTACATCATCTACCACATCTATTTATTTAAATCATGTGATCAACTTTATTAATCATCTAAAAAATGTATCATATTTAATAATGGAAACCTCTACAGATGCGCAATCAACGGCTAAATCCAAAGATCCTTCAACTGTAAAACCGGAACAATGGAAACGTCTACAGGAATTAAAAAGGAGGAGGGAAGAGATAAAAGATGAAGGTAGCAAGAGAAAGAAGCCAAAGCGGATTTCGGCAGGTAGGAAGAAACTGAAATTTTCGCTGTTCTGCAAGAAATAGGGTATTAAATTATATCCATATCCTTAGATGGAACTTTAAATAAAGAGAAAGAGAAATTTAAAGAAACAAAAACTTCGACGTTTACTCAAAATCAAGTGAATTTCCAACCACCGCTTTCTTCTAAACCCATAATTACACAATTACCAAAGAATCTGTCAAATTATATACATATGAACTCTCATTTAAAGGGAGTTGATCACGGTCGCTTGGCAACAAAAGTAAGACTTTAAATAATCATTTCGAGCTGGAGAGTAATCTATTGATTTTATCTAACAAAAAATAGTGCCGGGTGGAAAAAGAGCTCGATCAGGCCGTTAAAAACGGCGATCTGGACAAGGCTTCAAAAATAAGCGACCAAATTGCACAAAGAAATTACGAAAAAATGATAAAAGAGGCGATTGAACGCAAAGAATTTGATGAGAAAAGAAGGGTAAATACAAAATAAATTTATTCTATTCTCCACACATTCTCTTTTTGAATAATGTATTTCGACATTATTAGAAAGAAGAAGCGTTAAAGGCAAAAAAGAAAAAACCGAAATTAAAATGGGGGTATTTATCATCTTTAAATTTTTTTTACATTCGATCTTGGTAAATTTGTTTATTACTATTTATTCTAGATTCGAGACGAAACAACGTTGGGAGACAAAAAGCAACATGTAAACAATCGATGGTTGTTGACTGGAACATCGTGATAAGCTTAATGACAATAAAAGCCCCAAGCGAAAACCTCGCGGTGCAAGACTGATGTACTCATTACAATTGTAAAAACTATGCATTCCTGAATAAATGTACTATTTTTTTCAAAGAAAACTTTTGAAAGATACTATTACTGTATAAATGAAAACGTTGTTCTGTTAATCAAATAAATCTCGTTATCAGTAAAATTATTTTAAGTAAATCACGTGGCGATTTTTTTTTTTTTTTTTTGTTAAATAGATCAGAAACGAATTTTGTGATCTTTCCTTTTCCAACCGTAGATAAAAGATTTTAACCATGGTGGTGAGTTTTTCAAATCAATCTTGTGAATTCGGTATAATCAACATAATTTAAACTGTGCATTTTACTTTACTGTATCGCTCAACATTTACTTGTTATAAATTCATGTTTTCTTATAGTTAACAGTAGATCTTCTCAATCCAACACCTGAGCACGAAAGACGTCAACACAAGCTTAAAAGATTGGTGCAAAGTCCAAACTCTTATTTTATGGATGTAAAATGTCCAGGTAAGAAAGACAACCGTAATTAGAAGCTTGTTCCCATTTCTAATATTGATCAATAATCATTTTATAGGTTGTTTTAGCATCACAACCGTTTTTAGTCATGCTCAAACTGTCGTTTTGTGTGGCTCCTGCGCAAACGTCTTATGTCAGCCAACTGGTGGTCGTGCCCGACTAACTGAAGGTGATCTTTGAACGTTAAAATTTTTGTTTTATTCTATTCTTACACACTTTACTTCTTTTACCTAGGTTGCTCTTTTCGAAGAAAGATTGGTTGATAAAATATTAATTAATCTTATAAAACATATATCATTATTCGACCTTTGTTTCCAAAATTTGCAAATAAAAATTTAAATCTTACCATTTGATTTTATACTCGACATTATAGCTACAGTTATTAAATATAATAAATTTATTTAATAATTTGGGTAACTATTTTCGAAAGTAATAAAAATGTTATCATATCAACCTTAACTATTAAATTTTTATAATATGCATTAAAAATTACAAATACAAATTAAATATTTTATTTTTTTTGGGGGGGGGGGGTTTCTCCAGTAGGTAAACATCATTTCTTTATTTGATATTAAATATAACAAGATATACATTGTGAAAGAAACAACATCTCTTGGGTGTATTGCATACAACAAGTTAAATGCTAGCTTGCCTACTTTTACAATATCTAATATCATAAAAAAATTCAAAAACAATATTAATATATTCGATAAGGCTGAATAGTGGCTATGCCTACCATCCTAGGAAATTTTGTAAATTCTTTTGATTTTTTAAGTATAAAAAATTGAAAAGAAAAATAAAAGTAACTATAACTAGAACTACATTAAGCAGACTATAATCTATAGATAGAAAATTACTATTTTCTCTTGGAAACCCCTGGACAAGCTTACTGTCCCATCTCTTTGGCTTGTTGGTTACCATAGATGATAAAGTATACGTGATATTATTTGTTGTTATAGTTGTTGGTAGTGTGTTAGTTGTTGTTATTGTTATGATCGTTGTTATGATACAAAGAGCTGGTTTCTTGTTTGTAGCTGCCGAATTCGGGAATCAGTATGTCAATTGGTTATTTTG